TTTATAACTTTATGATACTATTATTGTCTGCGAGAGCGTGATTCTTCCCCAGTCGGTTCGACCCATTTGTGCTACAACCATAATAGATGTAATATAACTCTACCGCGTAAATAATAAGGCATGCAATTTCTTTCTTTAAACCAGTTATTCATTTGTTTCTTTCGGTTTTGTTTGTACTGCAGACATTATAGCAATATTGCGCTATATTTCTGATGATGGACTCAAAGAAACTTCGTGTTATATTTGAATATGAGTTCCAATGTGTATCAATGCGTCTCTACCGACAAGCAATATCAATAACATAAACGGAAATAGTACTACTATCAAATGTTACTGTGTTTTTTTGGGTCAATCGTTTTATTTCGAGAAATTTTTGCCTCACAAGTGTTCAGCAGAACGAGATAATATTTCATGCCGGCACATCGCTTGCTTCTTTACAAAACGCACGTTCGGCCTCACATGGAATATGTTCTCATCTCTGGGACGGGGCACCACAGTGCCAGCTCCTTACACTTGACCGCATCCAGCGCAGAGCGATTCGAATTGTCGACGACCGAGTTCTTTCTGATCGGGTCGATTCACTGGCACTGTGTAGAGAAGTTGCATCCCTTTGCGTTTTTTATCGTATCTACCACGGGACACTCGTTCTGTGGAATTAAATGGATTAGTTACAGCCGCCAAAATTTCACGAACGCACGTCGCGTCAAAATTGACGATACCATCCTCACCATCTCAATGCTTGGCGGTCCACCACTGTGCGTTTTACGAGGAGTTTTCTTCCTCGTACAACTTCTCTGTGGAATTGCTAACCACCGGCTATTTTCCTTGACTGATATGACTTAGGGACCTTCAAGAAAAGATCCTCATGGCCGCTTGGAGAAGAAGGTTGATAACGTCGAAATTGGAGACTATAGTGTAAGCAGGGACCCATCTCAAACTACAATTGAGCTAGCGTCGGTTTTTGAAGTTATAACAATGTATTAAGATCAATTGCAGCAAATCGATTAAATAAGGAAGCTTGGCATATGTCTACCACGCAAACAGATTTTTTTATAGAGGTGGTAACAAACGAGCATACAATCCATCTCATGGTGGTTTTTTTTTATAGAATAAGGGTGACAAATGAGCACACAGTCCACTTGATGGTAAGTGGACGCTGTGGCTCGTAGCCATCTACATATAGCCTCGCTTAAGAATCAAAATGCAGATGCGTTGTCACCCTTGAGGACTAAGATGGAATGCCTCGTTTCCAGTAAAAAGAGTCTCCGATTCTCTACACTCATCATACGAAACACGGCAGCATTAAGCTACTATTTTACGCTGGTATTCTGTAAGAGCGTGGTTCTTCACCGGTTGAGCCGACCCATTCATGCTTCAACCATAATAGTTGCAGTATGGATCTACCACGTAAAGCCACACTGCAGCGTGAGTGATTTAATTGGTATTGATATGTGACGAAACGTAAAATTCTCGTAATTTGCATTACTAATGTATTTGTATTATATTCAGGTCAATATTAATATTAAATGTGATAGTTTTTCTTATTTGTATTCCATGCCACAATCTCATAACATTTCTCATTCATAATTTTCTCCCGTTGCTGATGAGGATATAAAAAAGACCATTTATTGTATTAAGTCTATGGCAGTTGGCTTCGATGATGTGAATAGGCTTATGATCACCATAATTCTAGAGTCTAGACTATGTTACTTATGTTATTACTCACATCGTTAATTTAACATTCGCTGTTTGTACCATCTGTATGCTGATGACTTACAAATAAATGCTCAAACTGAGGTGACAGGTATCGATGATGTGATTTAGAAGCTTAACTGCGATCTCAACTGTATTTATTATTGGTCAGACAGATTTGGTATTAGGGTTAATCCATCAAAATGTCAGGCTATTGTGGTTGGTAGTTCTCGAAGAATACCTAAAATTAATATGGAGGCGCTACCTCCTATAATCTTTAATATAGTTGTTGTTCCTTACTCAACAACTGTTAAAGACTTAGTAATAGATAGAATCTTGACTTAGTAATAGACAACTTCAATTGGTGACCGCATATGCATGAAGTGAGCAAAAAGGTCACTAACACTCTGCGTTTTCTGTAGGTATCGTCTCAAGAATTTTTTAGCGATAGCGACTAAGGCGATGCTAATACAGACTCCAGTGTTGCCTATTTTAGATTATGCAGATGTTTGCTATGCTGATGCCTGGCAGGAACTTCTAAACAAACTGGATCGACTTCTTAATAATAGTGTGCACTTCATTTTCGGTTTACGTAAATACGACCACAATTCCTCTTATCGTTCTCAGCTTAAATGGCTACCTCTCCGCTATCGCAGATAAATACTTTGCACATTATTTTCAGTTTTACACAATCCGTTTGTCTCTGAATATCTGAAATGCAAAAATTGAGAGAGCTTGATTGGAAAGTGTTAAGGCATCCACCATATTATAGTCCTGACCTTGAACCTTCAGATTTAAACCTGTTTCGGTCCCTTCAGAATTCTTTGGGTAGAGTTAGGTTAATATCAAAAGAAGACTGTCAAAACTACTCGCTTTTTTCTTGATCAAAAATCCCAAGATTTCTACAGCAACGGGATTATGTCACTACTTATAAGACGGCAACAAGTTATCGATCAAAATGGCACATATATATTATAATTAAATGTAATTAAACTTAGAAAAAAATGTCTTGTATTTGTATATAAAATACGAAGAAACATTTTCCCCGACCTTATATTAAAAAAGATTAATTTCCTATTACTTTATACTGGCAAATATAAAACCATACGAATCTCTTACCAAAGAAAAACAACAATAATGTGATTATGAGCAGTGTTGCCAACTTAATGAGTTTTAAACTAGAACTGGTGGTTTCAACCCCCGTTTTAGCTGAGAATTATTGCTTTTAGTAGCTGGTGTTTTTTTTTCTAGTGTTTCAGTAGAATTCAGTTTCAATTTATGGAAAGATGATCGTTCAAGAAGTAAGCCACTTACTACTTCATTTAAGGACACTTTACTTTGTAGGCAGCACTAATTCGTCAATCATAATGTTACGTCAGTTGATGCATTCCGGTGGCACTATACAATTTCCTGGGATTCCTCGCAGAATATTTTAGTATTTTTCACGAATTTATTCGTCACTATGTCGAACTCTTAGCATATTTAAAGGTTTGGTGGAAACAACTACTGGTCAAGTAGCAAAATGAAAATGTTGTCAAATAGTTGTTAGCATGATGATGGAAACTGACGATGATGCTGTCGAAAAATTATTCAACTGAAGAAGACGAATTAATTTAAGATAGCAGCTAATTAAATCATATATTCTTGATGTTGAATTGTTCATTTACTAATTAATGTTGATTTATTAATTATTTACGTAAAAATGTAATAGATATAGTATAAATACTTAGTCAGGTGATAAGTTCTGTCAAAAACTTTTTATAATACACTTTTTGATAATATAGAATCTGAAATAAAGTTTTAGAATACAATTTTATTTACATTATTCAAAATGCCCTCCCCTATTCTGAATACATACCTTAATCAACGCGGCCAATCATCAATCGCAGTACGCACCACACTCACATTTATTTCTGCCGCTGCTTTAGCCAAAGATGCTCGGAGGGATTCCAAATTCTGATGAGGTTTAGCGCAGACTTTCTTCTCTAAATGTCGCCATATCTTATAATCCAGTGGGCTTAAATCTGGAGAGCTAGAAGAGGGCGAGTCTTCATGTCCAATAAAGTTTATTTCATGGGCGGTCAACCAGTTTTGCGTGCTTCGTGCCCTATGAGCTGGTGCAGAATCCTGTTGGAATATCCAATGTCTGTTTTTGAACATTGTTTGAGAAAGTTCCACTATGTTTGTTAGGACAGTATTTTGGTACACCTCAGTACTGGCTTTTACACCTTTTTTACAGAAAAATGCCAAACCGTGCCAAACCATGAGTGACGAAAGATAATGTGCTCGTTGAACCCTCGGAATACGCGCGCTGGCTTCTTCACTGCTGTGGGCATCCACCTTATCATTTTGTTTATTATAGCTTTCTTCGATGTTAAAAAAATTTCTTTGTTCTGCTTAGGCCCATCTGAAGAGCTAAGATATTTTGTTTATGAACAGGATTTCATTGAATTCACACCTTCACTGCTTTGATGATCGCGGGTGTCCTAACTGTACGAGGTCGGCCAGTCATCTTACGATCTTCGAAGCTTGAATCTTCAGTGAATCGTTTGATAGTGAGATAAACAAATCGTAGGGTTATTTTTAATTTTTGTAGAATATTGAAAATCTCTTATGGCGCGTAATCACAGCGGTGCAACGCGATAACTGCTAGCTCTATCTTCTTTCTTCGACCAATCCATATTTGAAAATGAATGAAAATTATTGTTTTATTTTATTTTCGGCAAGCGCAAACTTTATACTTTTAAAATTGGTGAAGTTCATCTAGCCAGTTTTTTTTTTAAATAATAAGGTTTTGACAGAACTTATGACCCGACTAAGTATAGTATGTATAAGTACATATAGTAATAAAGGTAAACAATCACTAAAATTTCTATTTTTACTAAACTAACTTTTGCACTAAACGAAAATTTCTTTGGTGGAAAATTTAGGAATTATGAGTGTAGGGTAGATTTTTGGTAATGGTTTGTTTTGTTTTTTAATTAGTTTAGTAGTTGGCAATACTGATCATATTGTTGTTGACAATTGACAGTTGACATTACATTTGTCAACAAGATAAAATTAGGTTAAATTTTTTACAATTATTAAAATTCTCCGCTTGGAGTGAAAGTATTCTGTGATTATAATAATAAAGTACTAATTGCCTAGTACTTCTTATTAGTTTGTGCTAAATACTAAACACGCGTGAGTGTTTCTTGTTATTATAGTTTTTGTACTTATCTCAATGGATTTTGAAAATTGGCGACGATCATAGATGAACATAAAATACTTCAATTTTGAATAGAAAAGGTTTACAAATTGCAATAACAATGACTTCAGCTGTAACCAATCGCCCTCGTGACTGCTTAGGCTGTAGGATCGTTGGTGCAGCCGGTCTGATAGGAATTGGTGCTTATCTTGCAAATGTTGCATGGAAAAACAAGACATTTGCCGGCAGAGTTACATTTTCAACAATTTCTTTGGGTAAATAAATCATATCATAGTTTGATTCCTTTGATTTAAGATTAAAACTATCTTCTGTTTGTCCCTAAACTTAATCTTATATTATGTAATTAGTGTTGATACACTAAGCACATAACCTAACCTAACAGACTTACAAAATGTGTGTGTTATTTAATGTCATTTTAATTTAGTAATATAATAATAAAATTTTTAATATAATTTTTATTATTTTATAATAATAATAATTTTTATTCTAACCATAAAAAAATTTATGGTTAGAATAAAAAAAATTAAAATTTGCTATTTATACTCAAAACCATACCACTGCATGCGAAATACATATCAATGTGTACATATAATGTTGGTAAATTTACCGGATAATTTAATTAAAATACTACATATTAATAACTAGCTATGGGTGGTGAGACCAATAACACTACTAATACAACATCTAAAAACAGTGTAATAAGTTTAAGCTTAACCCTAATAAGCCTCTTAAACTAAAAACATTATTAAAATCATGTACCCAATATCTATATATAATATTTTTTTTTATGGTATAATAAGCACACAGTCCACCTGATGGTAAGTGGATGCTGTGGCCCGTAGACATCTACATTTAACCTCGATTAAGAATCAAAATGCAGATGCACTATCACCTCTAAGGACTAAGATGGAATGTGTTGATGCCAGTAAAATGAGTCTCCAGTTCTCTACACTCACCTTATGAAACAGCAGCATTAAGCTGCTCTTTTAAGCTGGTATTCTGTGAGAGCGTGGTCCTAACATAGTCGAATAGATTCATTCATGCTACAACCATAATTTTGCTGCAGCATGGCTCTACCATAAATAAAAAAGATATAAAAAAGAATAGAAGTGAGGCTGGTCCAGCAAGTAGATGAGTTTGTATATTTGGGAGGGATGGTAGATATGATAAAGATATAAAATGAGGAGTGAATGCAGAAAATAGAGTAAATGGGGCTCTACACTCTATTGTGGAAAGTCATGTGTTAAAAAAGGCATGTATGGCAAATAACAATGCTGTGTTAGTCCCTACTTTAACATATGGTAGTAAAAGTTGGGTGTGGCAGAAGAAGCACAAGAGTAGAACAAATGCAGTAGAAATGTATAATGATTTCTTAAATTTACGCGAACACTACACATTGAATAAAACTATTATTTACGGATTTTATCGCGTTTAATTACTTTAATTTACTTTTATTATTATCCCGACGTTTCGGGTGCTTTACAGCACCCATGGTCACGGAGGAACTGAGATGTTTGACGTCCCAATGTCATAGTTAGTCCGTCTACCTTCAGTTTTTTTTAATATAATTTTTTTTTTTAATTTTTGCGTAAATCGGACCACAAATTAATATTGTGACCATGGGTGCTGTAAAGCACCCGAAACGTCGGGATAATAATAAAAATAAATTAAAGTAATTAAACGCGATAAAATCCGTAAATAATAGTTTTATTCAACAGTAGAAATGTAGTTGTTAACGAGTATGTTAGGGCTGAATCTGAGTGACGGTGAGAAAGTTGTGATAAGAGTGTGGTTTGCAAGTTGATGACCAGAAGTAAGAAAGGAATGCTTAGGTGGTTTGATTATGTAGAATGAATTAATGAAGAAAGAGTGAGAAAGCAAATTTATATGCAAAAGTGAATAGCAGAGTCGGAAAGGGATGTCCTAGGCAAAAGTTTATCGACCAAATTGGCGATATATTGAAAATGGGCCAAATTAAGAATGAGAAACGAGCATGTATGTATGGATGTAGAGGAGGCAAGAGATGTGTGTCAGGATTGTGTCAAATGGAAGTCTGTGGTTTCTGACTACTCCTCTGAGTGACAGGGGTGAGTGTTTATGTATGAATGTAGGTATTCCTTCATATTATTTTTAGATGAATATATTATCTAAATAAAAGTACTTTGCAATATCCTAATATTATTTGTTAATGTTTTTTATTTTTACAGCTTTTGTGACCCTTGGAGTGCAAAGGTACAAGCAAGAATTTCCATTTGAAAAGAAAACTGAAAATACATAAAAGTTATTGATAGTGCCCAAGGAACTGAATTACTAAATATGAGGTCACCTCTGATTCTGAGAAGTTCACCTTTAGTGTTAGTTTTTCTGTGATGTATATAAAATATGATAAAAATATAAAATGTATTGTATATTTATATTTATGTATAACTAAGCTTTTAATGTTATATTGATTGTTATTGTAATATTGGTAAATCTACTAAAATGTATAATTATTTGAGTTATTACTTTATATTGGAAGCTATCAAATGCTGCCATCTATCAGATAGGTGTAGAATTACAAAGTTCGTATGACATCTTACTTTAAATTTATTTTCAAATAAATTAAATAGATGTCTCTGATATTGATAATGATGATACTAGTCATATTTTCTATAGGAAGTTACCTTATTAGGCGATTAGTGACTTTGTTAGTAATATAGTGTCCATTGCCTAAAAAAATCCATCATTCAAATTTGTCGTTCTTTGGTTGTCGTAAAAGCGAATATTGTGGGAAATGCCAAACCTTATGGTGTCTCATAGATGGCGGTATTAACATTTATTGTAACATACTAGAATATGGCTAGAAATATCCAGACCGTCCACAAGGAGCGAAGTTAAAGGTGCGAGATATGGCCCATGACTGCAATGTACTTTTAGATGCATTTTAAGAAGATTTATGCATGTGCGTTTTTGGAACTTAAATAAAAAGTGATTAAAGAGTAAGAAATTTTTAGTACTGTCGAGGGTGGGCAAACAAGTTTCTAGGGTGAGCATTGCCCACCCTTACTGCTGTACCAGAGCTCGCTGATCGACCTTGATCTTCCTCATACAGTCAGCTGTGAAGAACCACGTCTCAGATCCATATCTCATCACTGGCAACATTCACTGGTTGTAAAATCTTGTTTTCAAGTTTTGAGGTAAAGCTGACGAGAAGATTTATAATCATCAATCAATCCAAACGCTGCTGTTCTCAGTTGAAGTTGGACTTACCTAGTCGGACTATTTGTCCTAGGTAAACAGGTACTCGTCGTCAACGTCGACCGTTAGTGATTCTAACAACTACTAGCCGTAAGTATAACATGGACGTTATACAAACGTTGTATTGTCCATGTTCATGTTCATTTTAAGACCTATTCGTTGCGAGCCACTATTCAGATCATTGAGCTCTAGCGATTCTGCCATAAGGGCTATATAGTCGGCAAATCGAAGGTGAGTGATTTACTGGCCATTGATATTGTTACCGTATCCTATCCAGTCCAGTAGCTTGAAAACGCCTTCCTATGCAGCAGTTGGAAGAGTTTTAGGGATATAACGTTACCCTATCTTAAATCTTTCTACAGTCATAGGATATATTTCGTATTCCGGTTCTCTACTCGGATAGCCATCGTAGCCCTACTGTATAAACACTTCAGCATTTCGATATACCGACAGTCAACTTGGCGCTAATGAAGGTACTATCACCGTCCAAATTTAGACGAAATCAAAATCCACATACACAAAACAAAGTAGCAGTTTGTACTCTTCTGTCTTATTAAGTTAGAAAATTATTATTTTCCTTCCTTGTGTATGAGGCACACAGTGCACCTGATGGTTACATTTATCCTCGATTTGTTACGAATCTAAATGCATATGCGTTTTCATCTGGACTACGATGGAATGTATCGTTTCTAGGAAAAAGGGTCTCCGGTTCTCTACACTTACCATACGAAACACAGTACGCCGGTATTCTGTGAGAGCCCCGGTCGAGGCGGCTTATTCGTGCTACAACCGTAATGTAGCTGCAGTGTGGGCTCTTCGACATGTAAAATTAAAATGTATAAAGTTATATATTAATATTCGAGGATTACCGTGTCCTCGCCTTCTCTTAGGACTTCAGATAATGCTGCAATATGCCCGCGAAATTTATCTCTTCTTCCAGCCACAGAGTACCTTTGTATAAATCGAAACTTCCAGTTCCAGGATGTTGTCAGTCATATGGGTGGGTGCGTTAATTTTGCCATGTCGAATCGTCTAAAATGGCAACCGAACCTCAACCGGAAATTCTTAGAGGATATTCTTACACTTCCACTACACGGTATACAAACAAATTGATCGAACTTTTTTTTTCTATAGGATAGGGTGACAAACGAGCACACAGTCCACCTGATGGTAAGTGGTTGCTGTGGCCCATAGACATCCACATCGATCCTCGATTACAAATTAAAATGCAGATGCGTTGTCACCCGTGAGGAATGAGATGGAATGCCTCGTTACCAGTAAAAAGAGTCTCCGGTTCTCTACACTCACCATACGAAACACAGCTGATTTAAGCTACTATTTGACGCTGGTATTCTGTTAGAGCGTGGTCCTTCCCCGGTCAAGCTGACCCATTCGTGCTACAACTATACTACTAATATAACTGCAGCATGGCTCTATCACGTATATAAAACAAGAAAAGATACATGCATAGTCATAATTCTTCTTAAATTGTTCTTGAAAAAGAAATAGTTTAGGAGGAGGAGACAGTAATAATCAGGCCGTAATGCCTCTTTTGGATTTTCGGATCAGTCGTTCGGGTACCGTGCGACAGCAACAGATCGATAGTACCTATTCTTCAAATTTTAGATTTGCAGCGCATATATCCTCTTAATATTTTAAATCTTGTTACCTACTAGATGTACGTAGGTTACACTGAAAGTAAAAATAACTCTTAAAGCAATTTATATATAACCTATATATTTACTGTTTTTTTTTAATTATTTTCTAATATATTTTAAACATTATTCATTCGTTCAAACCATTTAAAAAAACATACGGACCACTAGGCATGTTTTTCACGTGCTGGTTAAAAGCTATCACTGTTTCTTCTGGCTCCGTAAATATCAAAGCTCATCCAATCTTTGATTTTAGTAAAATTAAGGAAATCGCATGGTGCGGGGTCTATACTGTGCGTGTAGTAATGGGTCACGCTCACCTTTTGGAAGCTAATATGACTGTCTTGTTCTCGTTGTGCGCCGTAGCATTGTCATGGTGGAATAGGATGCGACTTCTTAGTCGTTTTTCCCTAACTTTTTCTAGATTCTGGGCAACAAACGGCGATGTATCTACTCAGCATTAACTATATTTTTCTCATCAAGTAATACCAACTGTGCAGTGGCGTAGCTACCTTGAGGCTAGGCGGGGCAGTGCCCCGGGGCCCTCGAGCTAAAGGGGCCCCTCAGCCTCCATGACGACAACAGTCGAAAAAATTATACACATATTATCTTAATTGAAAAAAAAAAAAAAGAATTCTACACTTAACTATTTGGCCCTTGACCAACAAACCTCGAATGGCTCGACCTGAAATCACGAGAATTTCTCGCACCTCCAGAACGTATTAAGTATATGAATAAAATAAAATCACTTACTTAGTTTTACTGTCTAAGTACCAATATTAGATATTAACTGTGTCATTGTTTATTGTTACCAGCTTCCGCCCGCGACTTCTTTCGCCTGGTATAGACCAACATTGAAAATTATCCCACGGGATCCTTTTATCAGAACGAAACGGAAGCACACAATTTCATCCAAATCCATACAGTAGTTTTTATGTGAAAGCGTAACAAACAAAAAAACTTTCACATTTATAATATTACTAGCAACCCGCCTCGGCTTCACACGCGTTTAATTTACATGTGGCGTCATTTATGTTTAAAAAATACTGTTCGATTAATTTAGTTTGTCGCTTGATTATTTATTACTAGGAAAATGCGCTAAGTAATAAAATATCTTATCGTGTATTATCGTGAAACATAGATCCAAATTTGTCCACGGCCTACAGATTTATTCTCACTCCTCATTACTGCCAGTTATTACATTATGTCTATATTCTATATACAATGTTTACAGCTGACTTTTCATTACACAATACGAACAGATTTTGTTTGAAAGTGACACCTGAAAGGCACATAGCTGATCATGAAATGTTTCATGTGCTGAAACGAAGGAGACCGCGGCGGAGACGCCGGACGTGATTTTTTTTTGATTGCACGTAATTTTGAAACTGTGATATATTCTAAAGTATTCATTTAAATTATTTAATTCTAGGATAATTTTAATTAAAATGAAATGCCCAAGTTAACTCACATATTTATTAATATAAATATTAATACTGGATTAGAAAAAACATCTTCGCAATTAAGCAAACACTTTTAATTAATTTTTAAGATATAAATATACTACATATTACTTTATTATTATAGGTTTTCTGGGTATACTTACATGTTTAAAGATTTTGGATTTTTACGTTCCGGTTTATTTTGTGAATAAAATTCTTATTACTTAACTTATAAATATAAAATTTTGCAAACTTATTCTTTAAGAAATGCACTATAAGTAGCCAAAAAAATATTATGAAATTCCATAAATTACAAGTATTTGAAAAATCACTTTCAAGTTAGGCCCATTTATCACAAAAAATATAACAGTAATGTGGACCTATTTAGGTTTGATCCAGTATATTATTGACATCCATGTCACTTTTTAGTTTTTAATCGTAGTTTTTACTCTATATGACAAAATCAAACCATAGGTCTGAATTTATTGTTTCCATTTTATAAACAAAATATCAGATATTAATAAAAATAATACTTTAATAGTCAGCCCAAAGTAACAAACAATCTCCAAATTGTTTATTTTAATTAACAATTAAAGGTATGAATTATTGTCAACATGATATTATTAATAACATTACAATTATAAACTCTTACAAGTAGGAACTTTTCAACTATTAAGCTAACTTCCACATGAATATTTATTTTACATCACAATATTTTTCACTACAGGCCTTCGATCAAATTGTTGATCGGAGCTGCAGACTTATAAAACTATTCATACTTAGCAAAAATAAACATAAGTCTCAAAAACTTTACTTAACAAAACTATCAAAAATCTAAGATATTTTTCTTAGAATTATAATAAAACAATGTTGACTACATTGTTTTATTATAATTCTACATTGTAAATATGAAAACCTTATTTAAAGAATAAAATGTACTGTAC